ATGACTAGTAATAATAATTTTTGATGAAGAGATGAAAGTTATATTTTTATCATCAAAATGGGAAAATGTTTACTACATACAAAACAAACACCAGACTATCACAATTTACATACTGCACTCCAATAATGCCTACCTTCATTCTTTGCAGGATTGTGTCAGGAACATGTTCACTGTGCTGACCGAGCTGAGGAAATGTGGAGTGTCCGACACCGAGACTTGTCTGAAAAGTATCACGCTGTCTCTAGATAAAGGACTGACAGTGAGTAGTGCTTATGGCATCAGTATAACTAAACTTTCTTAATAAAAAAAAAGTTATTTGCAGTACACAGTGAATATCATCTGTGTTGTGTTGTCCTAAAAAATGTTGATGCTTTATTTTGACCAGTTTGCTAAACTGTACTTTCTCCCTTCCTGTAGGTTCTTACAGTGAAGTCCTCAGGAACTGTGCTCCTAAATGGGATCTACGCTCATGCACCATTAGTCACAGGTAGGAATCATGCCTAATATACATTGAAGGGTGGTCATACATTGCTTAATAAAAACAAGTGATTCTCCTGATTGTCAAACCAAAATCATTAAAGAGGAACTTTACCCACCAATTTAATGTCTCCCAAAACAGCTACTTTTAAGGCATGTCTTATGTCAGCTCCCAGCTAAACTTTGAAGCCCTCAAATGGCTGATGTCTTAGTTTATCACATGTGCAGCACCATGGCAACTGCAAATAGAAGCTAAGATGGCCCCTTGGCTGTAAGGGATAGGATGTTATTGTTCCACTTTAACTATATCACCTTATAGACTTGTTTTTTTCTCTCTTTTTGGGTCTCCTTTGTTTATTGAATACCAAGTTGATAATTTGCATTCTTTACATTTTTCTTTTTCAGAAAATCTAGCTGTGTTGAGTCCATCTTCTTTTTTCCTGGTCATTCAGAGCTTCAATGGAATCCAGATCCAGGTTCAGCTTATCCCGATTATGCAGATCTCAGTGACCCTGGACCCTGAGTACCAGGGAGATGCATGTGGTAAAAATTTATTTAGTCATTAATGTTCCCAGGATTATAGTAAATGTGAAGAGCTGTAAAGGATATCTTGCAGTGAAACGCACTCCAATCTGATTCATTTGATGCATGGTAACTAGATATTGTTCTCAATGTTTTAGGTCTGTGTGGTGACTTCAATAACATCCGGACAGATGACTTCAAGTCTGTGAGCGGAGCACTGGAGGGGACAGCGGCTGTCTTTGCGAACACATGGAAGAGCCAAGCAGATTGCAATAATGTGAAGGACAGTTATGAAAACCCATGTGCACTCAGTGTAGACAATGGTATGTGAGAAATCATTTATTAAACATAAAGCAATATGAGACTAGCTCTCATCAAATAGTTTCATATCATTCTCATTAATGGCACTCTCAAATAAAGAGGGTGAATGCAAGCAGCCATAAAACCTGATCTGGGTTTTCAACACTTACCACAAACTCTAGCCAATATGAAAAAAAGCTCTGGCTTTATATATACTTTAGATGTGCTGTTAGTGAAATATTTAAATTTTCCATAGTGTTGAAACTAATCTAAACTTCAAAGTATGAGCCCTGGAGAGGGGAAAGCTTAGTCTTACGTTTTAATGCATTTCACTGTGCCGTCATCCCAATAAATTTTAGGCATTCGAGTTGGTGGGGTATTTCCATAGAGTTTACAGAGAGACCACTTTGTGTATTGGACCATTGTAGTGATCATGGTCCAGTAAGCTTGTTAATGGTGCAGGGAAAACATAGTAATTTATTGACCGGGTCGGGAGACCCAGGGAAAATGACAGGAGAGTAGTGTGACAATGGGTGCACTGGGCAAAAAACAAGCTGCACACGATCTAGGGTCATACACTGTTCACCCCCTTATTATCATTACAAGAGCTCTGTTTGTACGTTTGTGTTTTTATAGTAATTTATTGAGATGTTCACTTTGAATAATGTTGACACAATGGGGTTGATTTACTAACGACAAATAGGCTGTTCACTTTGCATGGGAATCTTCCCTTAGCATAGTGAATAAGGTGAACATTTACTTTGTAAAGGAAACCCAATCACATTTAGAGGAAAAAAATAAACAAAAAACTATTTTTGTTTACATATGATTGAATGGTGGAAGTCAGGAGAGCTTCACCTCATTCACTAAGTTAAGAGAAAATTCCCTTGTAAAGGGAACAGCCTGTTTTCCTTTAGTAAATCAACCCCAATATCTTCAATATTTAACTGGTAATTGGCTTTGTAGTGCATGTGGGTCATGTGAGTCATACAAGTGGCAAAGGAGAATTGAAAAACACTTCTCTAATACATTGGTTTAGTATATGCTTATCAAGTGTGCTTTTAAAATTTGGCTGGAGTTCCTCCTTAGTTGAACATAGATTCCATTGTTTATGAAGACTTATTTATCTTTCTCACCCCCAGCTGCACATTCTCACCTTCCCTTCTCTTCCCTACCCTGATGCTCTGTTCAGCCACCACAAGCGAAGAGATGAAGCCCTGTGTAAGCTCCAAGTCTTAGCTTGGAGTTTACACAGGGCTGAGGACTTTCCCCCCCTCCATGTAACAGTGCTGGGCTAGTCACTAAGCACCAGTGGTGTCACGTGGCAAGAAGGGGCCTGAGTCGCTTGCTCCTCAAAATCCATACATTCCCGGTATTTCTCCTTGTTCCCAAGCAGGGAACACAGCTGCAGTGTAGTAAAGAAAAGGTTAGAAGCTAACTGAATCTGTTCCTTTGCTGTGCATGGGCAAAGCACAGGCTCACTTTCAGGGAAAATAAGGATCATATAGACAAAATGAATCTATAAAAGATAGCTTAATGTTTTTATAGCATTTAACCCTTATTTACTGCTTTTCAGAGAAGTTTGCCATGTATTGGTGCTCTCATCTCTCGGACAGCAAGGGACCCTTTGCTCCATGCCATGCTGCTGTGAATCCAATTGTGTATGAGAAGGTGAGTGATCTGTGTTATAAAAATGGGTAGCATATCCACATGGCAGAGTAAACCATGTAAGAGGAGTATGTAGAATACAGTATTTTAGAAAACACTTGTAATATCCTGTAAAGGATTTTATAAGTCATTTTATTGACTTTAACAGAGCTTTATTTTCATAACTTTCTTATATATAAATAATTTATAACATTCAAATTCAGTATCAAAATCTATAAGTATATCAATTATAGTGCTCAGTCACACAAGAAGTCACACAGGAATAATAAGTTTATTTGTCATGTTTGCAAAAAACCTTTCCTAAACCAACATATTTCTTGAAAACCTTCAGAAGACCTTCATTATGTAAGTGTGATACAGACATGTAATATATTTATGTTTTATTCCAACAGAACTGTATGTATGACAGCTGTAACTATGAGCAAAGTGTAGACAGTGTCTGCGCAGCTTTAGCCGCCTATGCCCGGGCCTGCGCGGCCGAGGGAATAACTCTAGTTGGCTGGAGAGGTGCCCTCTGCGGTATGTATAGAGGTTTTTATATTGAGGATAGTATCTGCAATATTCATTTTATATGTTGACAAAATTATCTTGACAATCATTAAAGGAACATTCTGGATAAACATCCATTAGAGCTTAGTCATTTTAGGAAAGGAAATGCTTCCTGATGGAAGTTGCTGGATCTTTCAAGAAACCAGTTTTTTGAGTGGGTGTAAGAGAAATAAATTAGTATAATTTCAGAGAAGAAAGGAATAGATAAAGAAGTAAATTGAAAGTTTGAACAGTGAGGTGGGGGGAAGGGGGTGTTGTAGAGCAGTGCTCCCCAACCTTTTTATCGCCGCGGACCGGTCAACGTTTGATAATTTTACCATGGCCCGCTGAGGGGGGGGCGTTGATTGTTTATATTTTAGATTGTTTTGATTTAATACTTTTAATTTAATTGTATTTAAACATGCCTTCTAAATAAAATACAGTTACACCAAAAAATGAAAGCGTTGGAATTCTTCACCTATTCCACCACCGAAAAACTGGGCGAGATTACGTTAAAATGTGTGACCACGTCACTGGTCACACATTCTAACGTAGTCTCAAACTTTGATAGCCGCCTGTTGCTATGGACGCGGCCGGGAGGGGAGGTGAGTCACAGGACCCGCCCCCTCACTGTGAAGCCCGTCAGCAGTGCGGGGCCCCGGTGTTCGAACACCGCGGACCGGGGGTTGGGGAACACTGTGTCCAACTCCAGAGCTTATTTATATTCCATTATTCTTACCTTCCCCTGTTTTTAGGTTAGGTGGTAAGAAGAGATAGGTTGAATTTGATCATGTTATGAATGTGTATTGCATGTATTGTGATAATTAATTTGACAATATTTACTACAATTAAATAGACAAAAATCAAATATTGCTGTGATTAAGTCAGACTTTGCACTAAAAGGCAAGGTCTGCATATTACAACAGAACTCTCACCCCGAAACAAATCATCACACTAAAATTTAAAAACAACTGTGGGGAAAAAATGATAAAAAATATAAATTTACATTTTTAAAAAAAATTCTTGCCTTATCCCGGCTTCCACCTGTGGTGCCTAGGTGAGGGGTATAGTGAGATCCTTGGAATGCTGTTCGCACTGGATTGGTGCGTCTTCTTGTGAGATTTGGAATTGTCATCATTTCCAGTGCCTTAAGGGAAGAATCATTATGTCACCCTCTCCCCTTTTGTAATAAGTAGACCTTGCCTTTTAGTGCAAGGGACATTTTAGGACATTTTTGTAAACGTGTAATATGTATATATTATAAAAGTCAAACAGGGGTATCAGCTATCTTTTAATATTAAATCAAAATATCAAAATATGCTTTAACCAAATGTGATGTAGGCGTTCATCCTTATAAATAAATAGGTTGCCTTGACTAACATAATTTGTTAATTTCCAATTTCAGAAAAATATACAAAGACCTGCCCAAAAAACAGCACCTACCAGTACTCTGTTAGTACTTGCCAGAAAACCTGTCGCTCCTTGAGTGAGCCTGACCCCAGCTGCAGCTTCCATTTCCCTCCCTTGGATGGTTGTGCGTGTTTAGATGGAACATTCCTTGATGACAATGGAGCTTGTGTTCCAGCTAAGAACTGCCCTTGTTACTACAAAGGTTCAGTGATGCCCCGTGGAGAGGTCACTTTTGATAATGGTGCCATGTGGTAAGTCATATAAACAGGATAATCATGGGTTTTGATATAAGTTAATATACCATACATGATTTCCCTCAACACATTATTGTAAGTTAGCTCTTTGTTATTATTTACCTGCCCCGTCAATAATCAGGATTTATCAGAATCTGTTTGTAAGTATAAATGGCTCACTTCTTCTCCCACAGAACTATGCACAAACTCTAAGACCATATTATATGCAGAGTTCTCTATGTATTGTGGCATTTTCCACGCTGAATGTATAAGCCTAAGGTTCTAGCATAGCAAAAAAATCAAATGACCCAGGTTTTTTTAATATCAATTCTGGTTTATCAGCTGAAGGCTTGATTAATTAAAAGCTTGCTGCAATTGTGATGAGATATGTGCTAAAATGATAAGGCATGCTGGCCTGACAATATTTTCTACAACTTGCTTTGAAAAATGTCATAGTGTCGACCGCCATGGCCTATGCTCAATATCAGCAGAACAGAATAGGACAGGCTTGAATACTAGCAATGTGTTTGGTTGACCTGGAGTTTGTATTTTATTAACAAAGCTAGAGTTTCAGTTCAGTCTATGTTCCATATAATTCTATATATCATATACTTTCAATGCGGTCTGCCATTGACTACAGCAGGCCTTTTTTAAATGGTGTTTTTTGGCAGGCCATCTTACTCTTTCTCTGTTGCCATTGGACAGTTTAGGACTTTAATTTGCATGAGGCTACAACCATGTAGTCATTAAAGCAAACCTGTACAAAATAACAGGTTAATTTAACTGCAACCCTTCTAGACTGCACCTGCTTTTTTTCCTTTTGGTACCCCACTGCTCCATGCAGCCACTAGTAGCAAAGAGGGGAATCTCTGTGAACACAGGTCCATATCTTTATGTGAAAAGACCAGGTGCTTGAGTGGACACTCAATAAGTTCCAGTACTGTCACATGGGAGGTTGGGGAGTGAGACATGTGTTTCCCAATGCAGATGTATTTTTCCTGGTGTCTAAATGTGGAGGGAAGAAAAGGAGAGTATGTGCAGCTGGGGGAAATGACATTTAAGTGAACCTTTTACATTGCCCTGCATGAAAATTTGAGGTTTGACATCCCTACAGTATAGATTAAGCTGCCTGTTGATAAATGTGATGCAGTATGCAGTATGCACCCCAAGATGGCACCATTCCTGTTCATGTTTTTCACTGGAAATTTACAATACATTAAATTGTCTGTTCTTTGATACAAGGCCCTTATTATGTTATATAATATGTAGTTAATAAAAAAAATCAAACAGTTTTGTAAAACTAGAAAAGCCTTTTTATCCTAAAACCTTTAAAAGTATTTCAAAGTTTTAGTAACAGCATGTAGTTTCTGCTTTAAGCCAAGAATAAAATATAATGACAAGCACAGGTAACACAGTTGTATTTGATTCTTCATTTCAGTACATGTCAGGGTGGCAGACTACACTGTGTTGGGAGGACACCCAGTGTTGCAGGTAAGTAAATAATTTTGATTAGAAATTATAATATACCATTATGTTAATTTTCAAGTGATAGTATATACTGAGGAGTTTGGTGACCATATAAATCCACAAGACCTCAGGCCTCACTGAATACTAAAGTGACTTACAGTATCTTTAAATGTTTAGAGGGATATGGTATTCCTTATAATAGACCAAAAACACGGGCATAATTTAATCTGTGAGAGGAGAAATGTAAAAACAATCCTCATCATATCTTACCCTTAGTTGTCTAAGGGGAACAAGTGAGACAACTAAGAGTAAAAAGGGGAAAGTGAAATACAAGAAATACTGATTTCCTATGAATTACCTGTTTCCCTGCCATCTAAGGGGAGACGTTTCTCTATCCTGAGAGCAGTGGCATTCTTAGATACATGCATTAAATGGTTCATTCACCCCAGATGTGTTGGACGAGGCATGTGGCATTAAAGTCATACTAAATTCAAGAGTTGAATCTTAAAAATGCATTCAAGTACTGTACCTACCCTGTTTCCCCGAAAGTAAGACCTACCCCAAAAATAAGACCTAGTACTATTTTTGTGAATTTCTAAAATATAAGACCTACCCCGAAAATAAGACCTAGTTGTGACCATTCCCAGGGCCGGTGGTGGCATAACGGGGAACTTGAAGAGCCGCGGGAGAGGCAGGAGAGAATCAGCGGTGCCAACGAAGCCAGCGCTAGAGGAAGCGAGGCGGCACCGGAGAGAGCAGAGCCGCATAAGCCGATGCCTCCTCTATAGCGCCGGCTCCTGTCACAGGCGGAGTGATATCACATGCACTCCGCCTGTGAGGAATCGATAGTGAAAGTGCGCTTTGCTCATTCTGGCCAGAGATTGGTTAGCAAATTGCTCTTGGAAAGGTACGGTACCCCTGATTGCCCTGATGACCATATTTGTGTACATGAATACATGTAGACTGTACATGAATAAGTGTGGCTTGTTGTACATTAAAAAAAAAATAAGACCTACCCCGAAAATAAGACCTAGTGTGCCAAAAAATATATAAGACAGTGTCTTATTTTCGGGGAAACACGGTATTAACAAAAATGCAACTTGTTTGTGTATCACTCAATTGTAGATCCTCAAATCATCTCTGAATTCATGCTGACACTGTCCTTCCTTTTAAAATCTCACATTTAGTTTGCTGATTTGCATTGAGATTGAAGTCCATCACAGGAGCTAGCTTGGAATGGTGGCTACTTTACAACACACACAGGGACCATTAGCAGCAAAAGTAGCCACTATCCAGAAGGAAGGACAGTGTCAGCATGAATTCAGAGTTGATTTGATGATCTACAACCGAGTAATACACAAATAAGATACATTTTTGTTAATAGTTAAAAGACTTCAATGCACTTGAGTGTCACTTTAATGCTTCTTCCTATGAAGTCATGTTCAGAAACTGACACTTCCTGGAGCACTGATCTCCTGATTCCACTCAGACTTCAATGGTTCCTCCTACTGACCTGACGTCAATATGGTGTCCTGCAGTAATATGAAGGTCAGTAGGGGGAACCCTACCCAACATGTGGCCAGTAGAAGATTTCTGTCAAACTGTTGGCACTATATACATCCTGTATAATAATAATAATTAAGTGTGGGTTCAAAGGAAGATTATTCTTCAATGGAGCAGCGTTTGGAACCACAGGCAGTAAGAAGGTAAGTATTCTCTTATTCTGCAGGGAGATTTTTTTGGCCAGTTTTATTTACCTCGTAGGATCACTTCAAGTTGCTAGTTGTAGAATTGGCAAGGAATCTGACATTGTGTTTTTCTTTAGTGTGCCCAGCAAACATGGTTTATTTTGACTGCGCTAATGCCTCACTTGGAGCAAAGGGAGCAGAGTGTCAAAAGACATGTCAGACCTTGGACATGGAGTGTGTAAGTCTCGATATACACAGTTGTCACTATCAGTACTTCACAGATATATGATGCATTTCTCAGAATTTATGAATAGGTTTACTTTTTATTTTCACCTTGTCCGGATGTCATTGGATTTCAGTGGGAAAACCTAGCAGCAGAAATTAATGTTAAGGAGGTGGTGGTTGGGGGGTTGTGGAGACAGTAACCAATCAAAAGAGTTTCTGCAGCTCAGGCAACATACAAACATCACCTCTGCAGGTTCATAAATGATGTGACCAGTATACGGGGCATATGCTTTTTTGCCACTAGTAACTCATTCTGCTTTTTATTGTTGAAATAATTATCACAAGACAATTGCGGGAACAAAATATAGGGAGCCTGTAAGAAGAACTAGCATTAGCCATGTGTTTCATGATGCATAAACCTAAAATATGATGCTTCCTTCCATGTATTTGATGGCACATCACTTCAGCCCACATGATATCCATTGCTGTTTTACTAGGTAAAATGGTCATTCAGCAGAGGCTAACCAAAAAATGGGGTCACCAAGACGAGTAATGGCTTTGATTGGACTCTTTGGGAACGCAAGACTCTTTGTTTTAAATGACAGAATATTATCTGTTGATTTACAGCATCAATGTGGCTCTAATTTTTTTGATCAAGCTAAACAATATACACAATGTAATGCTTCAAAAGTAGGGGTGGATTTTATCCATAACCCTATAGCCCCCCTACCCCAACACACGTGTGTGTGTTAGGGGTAGGGAGGATGTGGGGTTATGGGTAAAATCCATCCCTACTATTGAACACACATACTCATATCACCTTTTACAGAATATTTTCTTGTGTTACTGGTCCTTACCTACCTGTGTAAATAAGTGTATAAGAGATGTTATAAGAGATTAATACATTTCTACCGATGATGGGTAAAAAGGATGTGTAGTCCATGATTGCTCTGTTCAAGAGCCCATGTAATAACATATAGTAAGCAAACGCTCTAATAAATCCTATAAACATGCAATGACAGTTGTCATTTAAGACTATTGCCCTCCATATACAGGTGAAACTCGAATCATTAGAATATCATGCAAAGTTCATTTATTTCACTAATGCAACTTAAAAGGTGAAACTAATATATGAGATAGACTCATTACATGCAAAGCGAGATAGTTCAAGCCGTGATTTGTCATAATTGTGATGATTATGGCTTACAGCTCATGAAAACCCCAAGAACCCCAAATCCACAATCTCAAAAAAGTAGATTAGTACATGCAATCAATAAAACAAGGATTGTACATAGAACAATATCGGACCTCTGAAAAGTACGAGCATGCATATGTACTCAGTACTTGGTTTGCGCCCCTTTTGCAGCAATTACTGCAATTACTTTTGCACAATATTCTAATTATTTGAGTTTCACCTGTATGGCTCCATTTCTATGTCTTCAGATTTCTAAAGGTGATTTCACAAGAACAAATAATATAATTTCTGCTAATTACTATTTTTATTTTTTTAAATAATATCTGCAGTTCAGCATCCAGTGTGCCTCTGGCTGTGTCTGTCCAGAAGGGCTTGTGCTCAATAACAATGGCAAGTGTGTGTCTGCAGAAGAGTGTCCATGTATACACAATGGTAACATTTACCACAGCGGGGAGAGCATCCTTCAAGACTGCAACACCTGGTAAGCTATTTAACTGCACAAACTAAGGTGGCTATCTCATAAATTAAATATTCATAGGCCGTCTACATATATACATAATAATTGATAAGCTAGACGCAGTCCTAAAATGTCAGAACATTTACATAGCTATGTAACTCTGTTTACATTATGTAATGTATAGGGTCAGTCCACCCAAACCTAATATTTAAAACCAATCTGTAGAAAAAAATTCCCCTTGCAGTAGAGCCACCCCCGCACTAGGGGAGCTGTGTAAAAGAACTTTACCTTCCTGATCCTCGCTCCCGCAGGCTCCGGGAACGGCACTCCCAGCCCCCCTACAATGCTTGGCCCCTAGCCTTACAGTATATGTGAGGATGCTGAGGGACACAAGCCAGAGCGTAGGGGTGGCAAGGTAAGTACCAACTTCCAGAGTGAGTGGGCATCAGGTAAGTAAAAGTCCTTTACAAAGCTGAACTTGACATAAACAAACAGCCAAGCCTTGCGATGTGGAAGAAGCCCTACTGAAAGGAGAGTTTTATTTATCTCCATGGAGATAGGCTTTCAGTTATACTTATACATAGAGAAGATAAGTAACACACTGTCTTCTCGTATCTCTTGAGGTCTTCAGGGGAGAAATATCTCTACTTATGTTCACAAATCCACCCAAAGAGATGATCTTTATGTTGAAATAGGAGTCAGAGCATAAACCTGCAGTAAAGAAATTTTGCCACTGTAAGAATCTAGTGTTTGGTTCAACTCCTCACCAAACCTCAGACTGAAAGTGATATTAAAATCAATAGGTTTTTTTAACCGTGTTAAATGTTGATTAAATGACTTACAATGCATGCTGCTCCTTCATGTTTGAAAGTTTTAGTTTCCTGCAGAAACAGCTGTCCCCCTGAGCACTGGTACTGATAATCCTTCTTACAGTGGCTCCTTTGCCTTGCAGGGTCCTATGGAGCCACCCTTGTGTCTCCACAAGTGCATAGGAACAGCAGGGCAAGACACTCCCCTACCCCACTTTTCCGTCCTTCCTTCTCCAAGCTAGTAGATGGTCAGCTGCTGGAGACTGTGCTCTCCCTTGTGATCTTGTACTGGACAGGAAGTTCAGGGAAGGCGAGTTGAGAGAGTTGGAGTCAGCTGCCTGGATGATGACTGTAGGTTTTTGTGCAAAAATGTAAACAAAAACTTTGCTGAGCAAAGTATATTTGTTTGACCTGGATTCATTATTTTAAAAAGGTTTAAGAGTTTAATACTACTTTAACCTCCCTGGCGGTAATCCCGAGTCTGGCTCGGGGTGAATTTTCAATGCTAGGAGCGGTACACCCCGAGCCAGACTCGGGGCTGCTGAGAAAAGTGACACTTACCTTGTCCCTGCTAGCCCGCGGCGTTCTCTGCTGTACGCGGCCCGAAAATGAAGCTAAAAGCCGGCATCTAACTTTTAGTTTCGTTTTCGAGCGTCACAGCAGGCTGAAAATTCAAAAGTGAAAAGTTGTAATGTACACAGAATACACAACATGAAAAACAATGTACCGCTTTTGGCACAAAATTCCTGACATAATCATACCGCCAGGGAGGTTAAAGGAAATGCATCATAAGGCTTTAATTTCGATCAGCCACTAAACACCTACAAACAGGTACCCACATCAAAGGTAGTTGAAAACCACCCATGGCTCCCAGGCCACTAGCTGGAGCCCCTCTTCACTAAAATGTACTTAATTATTGAAAATCAAAATAGAAACAGTGCTATGAACCCAGAATTATTCTTTAACTAATGCTTGCTAATTCCTTTATGTTTCAGTACTTGCAAGGGTCGGAAATGGAAATGTACCAAGAAAGAATGTCATAGGACCTGTGTAGTGTATGGCGAAGGGCATTACATGACATTTGATGGCAAACGTTTCGGTTTTAGTGGTGACTGCGAGTACACACTGACACAGGTATGAAAAGCCTGTCATATGCAAAGGTTTCAAGCTTAACATATTGCAGTATTTCCCCACTAAGTAGTCAGCATTCTGCACAAAATTAAAGGTCAACAACATTAATGTATCATTTTTTAGTAAATATACATTGTTATCCCTTCTTAAACTTATGCTGCGCAAGTGTGAAAACAGTTAGTGGTCCGTGAAAGCCACGCTCGGGAATATTGAAATAATTATGTATATTCTGATAAAGCAAATCAAAGCTAGTTTGCTAGCCGAGATGGCTCAAGTCAATTAGGCTCAGTTATGGCATTTTAAAACCTTATCCATAATTTAATAATAATATTTACCATTGTATAAATATTCCTGATAAAAAGCCTTTGGTGACAACACTGTGATTGTAATCCTGTGAACTGGTTCACTATAGACCACAAAATCACATACTGTATATGTATATATACTGCGCTGTATTAGTTCCTTACTCAACATCCCAAAACGTTCTTTGATTGTTAGAAGCACTGTGCTCTCTGTTACTTTGTAGGACTATTGCGCATCCAACCCTGGAAACGGTTCATTCCGAATTATCACTGAAAACATCCAGTGTGGAACAACTGGGGCTACCTGTTCCAAAGCCATTAAAGTGTTTTTAGGCGTGAGTACTCATAACTTCACATCTTTTACTACATCTCCATTACATTTCACATATGTTTGTCTAATCCAGCAAATACGTACAGCATAAATGTCTTCTAAAGTATATCTAAACAGGAATAAAAAAATACAATATATTGCAGCTTGCCTGTCCTTAGATGATGTGGCCGCATATGTTTATTTTCAAGTTTAATTCATTTCCTCCAAGTGCAGAACAATACATGTTGAGCCTGCTCAGATATATTCTGTGAAATTGCCAAACAGGAAGTCTGTTACTGTTAAGCTCTTTAGGTGAAAATAAAGGAAATAAAGCCTGAAAAAGGAAAACACCTCATCTAAAGGGCTGTAAGCTGCAATATATTACAATTTGTTTTTGTGTTTCGATACACTTTAATGTTTCTTTTGTTGCATACACTTTATTAATGACATATAGCTCAACTACACAAAGCTAATAAAAGAAGAATGCATTTTCTTACTTGAACACATGACTTGGCACACTACACTGCCAAGGTTACTATTACTATTGTACCTCTTATTTTAAGTCTTCAGGAATTCTTTCATTTGGTTGTATAATAATTCATTCCTTACTGTTATATTGTGTGCTACTTCCTCTTTTCAGAACTTTGAGTTGAGATTGAGTGAAGGATCCTTTGAAGTAGTAGAACGAGATATTGGTGGCGAGGTCCCCTATCAGATCAGAATGATGGGAATTTACCTGGTGATTGAGGCTAAGAACGGTTTGATAGTCATGTGGGACAAGAAAACAAGCATTCTAATCAAGCTGAGCCCAGAGTTTAAGGTGAGGAAGCTGCTGTCTTTCAGACACACAGGGGGGTGATTTACTAACCTAAACACATGCACGCACCAGGTGCGTGTGATTTTCACACAGCAAAACGTATTTATCAACCAAAAGTCTCTAAAAGCATATTTCCACTAATGCCATACATGGAAAAATCATGCACATGATGCATATATAATGCTGCTTCACAGTTTAGACAAAAATGGTTAGCTCATGCATTTACATTCCTGCATTCATCAACGCAAGCAACACAACATAGAGCTAATTTACACAACATCACCTTGCAATTCATGCAGGGCTTTGCACAACACACCTGCTGGGTGTGTACACACTACAAAGGTGTTTAGATTCCACCCATAGATCATGCTGGGAGGGAACACACTACAGAGGTGTATACATGTTCGTGGTGTGTTTATAAGGTTAGTAAATCAACCCCACAATATTGATTGCCATTATCTTCTTATAGGCAATTAATAGTTGTAAGGGGATATTGGCATTGGTTATGGTTTTATATCATCTAATTGTATACTTTATGCATTAAATCTTTGCTTTTTAAAGCCAAAATTTAGCCAAAACGTTTCACTTAGCTTTGAATAGGGTGGGGAAAGGCTTGGAATCTTTGCCAGGTTTTTATTTCTGTTTTTGCCATGTTGGGGAGATTTCTATTCACTTCCTGTAGGGACAGGAATAAAGGGAAATCTCAGCAAAGGGGACACAAAAAAAAAAAAACACATTTTTAATCCAGAGAGGAAGATTTAGAACTTCTAACTATGTTTTTTTTTTTTTTATTGCTGTCTGTGTATTTCTGTCAACCACCCCAACCCCCACAGTCCACATATTATTTTTCCAATTTTGCAGAGAGTAGAGAAGACTCAGAACCTCTGTTTTATTACATTTTTAACACGGATGCAGACAGCAATCAAGCACTAATGTGGAGTCTTGTCTTCCCTTACTCTTCTAAAAACAAAAACAGTGTTCTGATTCCTATTTGTGTTCCTTTCATTTCTCTTCCTGTGCTGGTGGCACATTGGGGGGTGGATTTATCAGAACTGGAGCTAACAGAATCTGGGGCAGTTGGTGCATGGCAACCAATCCGCTTCTGTCTTTCATTTACAAGGCTTAACTGAACAAATTGAAGAGGTAAACAGATTAGTAACTATGGGCAAATGCTCCAAATTCTGTCTGCTCCAGTTTTGATAAATTCCCCCCATTGTCTTCAGGTCAGGAAATTAAAGACCCCCCAATGGGGCCATTAACAGGGGAAAAACTGTCAGATATTTGAACTCATTCCTACTTTATCCTAAACTGAAAAATAAAGTTTTGGATAGAGATACACTTCAATTTCACGTTACCAAAAACCTTTTGGGATGGAATTCTGATGGACACACATGGACCATGATTGCCCATGGTGATATCACACATATACTTTGCTACCAGGCTTGTCATTCAGGTTTAGTTTTGTGTGGATAAAACTTATTTTTTGTAGTTAGATAGCAGGGTTCAGGCAGAAACACTACTCTGCCTGTAATGCAAGAAAGAATGGTGTTTCATGCGCTGATGAGTTTTTACAGCTGAACTCCAGGCACAGAAATGTTCATTTAAATATATTCCTTAATAGTCCCTAAGACTATAAATCAACTTTGTGTGCAAAGCCTTTGAGATCCCAGTTATTAGTTTGTGAAGTAGATGTGGCAACATGCCTATGCCTTACATAGCCTGTGCAGAGAGCAGATCTCTGGGTGGGACTCATCATGCCCACCCACTATAGGCTGCCTGCAGAAAACTACAGAAGGGGGCAGATATACGACCATTCACCCTGCACAAGGAGAGAGATCAGCAGTGACTGGTCTGTATTACAGGAAGCTTTTGTACAAAGGCACACTGAATTACAGCACAAATCTGGAAGAAATACACAAAGGGAACTGACAGTCAAGTAAGAACCCACATATATCTTGTACTAAGACAATATTTGTGTGTCCCATAGATTGGCTTTAAAACAGCTTGACATCTTTATAGAAAATCCTTGAAATAGAACTCCTGTGTACAATTGCCTCTGTTATTTGTACAACTGTAACATAAATATACTGTATAAAGTTACATGCTTACGGAGGTAGGAAGCAGCCATGTTTAAAAAGTGAGCGTGCAGAATTTTACAACCTATGCTTGTTTCATAGCAGCTCATGTAATGTATACAATTTACCATTTGAAATATTATCTTTCCATCAGGGAAAAGTTTGTGGTCTCTGTGGTAACTATGATGGTAGTGTGTCCAATGACTTCACCACAAGACGTCTATCAGTGGTGGTCAATGTACAAGAGTTTGGAAACAGCTGGAAAGCTTCACCAACCTGTCCTGATGCTCAGCCCCTAAGGGATCCATGCATTGCCAATCCATACCGTCAGACCTGGTCTCAAAAGCACTGCAGCATCATCATGGGCTCAACTTTCTCCACATGCCATTCCAAAGTGGGTTCCTATGCTTTTTTTTTTTTTTACAAATGTGTTAACATTATGTTCTAAATATTCAAGTGAGAGCAATTTTATCACAAAATTATATTTCAGTTTTGAGTATTTGATTTCAAAAGAAGGGGCAGTCTTAGAAACAATCATCCCACTTGTTAACTACACCCTGTCCAGAATTTGTAGTTTAATGTTCCCCTGCATAAAGCCTCTTGCTGAGTGAATGTTAATCTATGTACCCATACGGATAAATAGCACTAATAATCCACGTCCAGAATGTTTCCCAGTCAGCTATGACATAGTGAGCACATGCTGGAGGCTTTATTCAGGAAAAAAAACTGCAGATGAAACTGCAGCTGAATACTTTAATTGTCAGATTCAATTACAGTATTAAAACAATTTACAGAATTACTGTCAATTAAACCAATGCATACTATGGGGTCTATTCACAAAGCTGCCGAAGGATCTGGCCGTAGCTTCGGCCGATCCTTCGGCTGGCTTCAGCCCCAGGACCCCTTCGGTTCAGGAGAACCGAGGGGGTGCTGTACGGGCTATTCACAATAGCCCGTACAGCTCCCGATCACGGCCGAGCAGCTCAGTCGAGCGCTGAGCCGTGCTGAAAGCCGAAGCTGGCCGAGCGGCCGGCCATTGGCC